AAAAAAAAAAAAAAAAAAAAAAAAAGTTGATGCAGCCACTCAGGTGGAAGTCCTGTGGCTTGAGTGTGTCTTTCAGAAGTTCATGTACTGGAAGAGCAATTCTGAAGTTCATATGACTTGTTTTTGGAAGTGTGACCTCTGGGAAGGCATTAGCATCAGACGAGGTCATGAGAGTGGTGGTGATTGCCCAAGGAAAAGAGAGTCCCTGGCTAGTCTGCTTGCTCTGTCTCACAGCAGATGCATTTACCATGCTATGATGCAGCAAGCCTGCCCGATGCCGAGCAGACATGGTTGCCATGCTCTGAGACTCTCCAGCAGAGCCAGCAAATCAATTCCTAGGGTTTGCAGGTTCCCCAGTCCTGGGCGGTTTGCTATAGGAACTGAAAATGGACTAAGACAGCTGTCCTCCATGTTCTCCCCAACCCCAAGTCAACACACCCTATTAACCGACACAGGTGGCCATGCCTTCAAACTACAGCTGGCCATTCCTTACTGCCTCTGCTGTGACTCGCTGGCACAGCCTCTTTCGTCACTACCAACCATTATATACGCCTCTAATTAGTATCCTGGTTCCGTTCTCATTCTGCTAAAGTCCACCTGCTAGAGAACAGCTGGAGTGATCATTTCACAATATGCTTCACACTATTGCTCCATGCCTTAAAGCCCCACAGCAGTCCCGCCCCCTTCACCCCCCTCCCCGCCCCACCCGCAGTGGCTCCCCCTGCCCTCCAACCCTCTGGCCACCAGAAGACTGCAGGTTTAGGTCCCACCCCTCTCTCTGCTTCTTTCTGTGCTACTGAGTCTGTTCCCTCTGTCTCCACCAGTTGGCAAGCTTGTTTGCACCTCAGGGTCTTTGCACGTTCCTCAGAAAGAAATGTAAAAGGGGTAAGATCACAAGGTATGCTCCACAGAGTTATCCGTGCTGGTTGTACAAGATAAAGAGACTTCCTTGTTCAAATATTAACTTGTGGAATATTTCTCAGGCTAAAGTTTCACATTTAAGTAGACTTTCTCAGAGTAGTTATTTGATTCTGAGAGGATGAATCATGTGGTATTTCTATACTTGCCTGAATGAGAAAGAGACATGTAAGGAAGCTCTGATACTGGGGTTATGGGGATGGGCTTTGTAATCTAATTAGAACTGTCTTTTAAAGGGAAAAAAATGTCATTCTCTTATCCATCGCAAGGTTCACAGCCGAGACTCTTACAGCAAAGGAAAAAGGAATTAACAAAGGAACAGCACAACGCATTCATTTAATATAAGTTTCAAGCGAACCAGGAGCCTTCAGAAAGCAAAGACCCAGGGAAAACTTCATTTTGGGGCAAACAGGAGGTCTGGAACACCAGAGTGGGTCTGTGGCAGCAATGGGTCTTTCCTAGTCTACTCCTTCCTTCTGGGAAAGGCCAGGGCCCCTCTGGAAAGAGGGTCTTACAACCATCTTCAGAGGAGGAAAGACAGGTTATGCGTCCATGGCCAGGTCTTTAGAGGGGAGAGTGAGAGGGTCAGCTTGCCCTTGGATGCCCATGTGTCATATTTGGGGTGTCATGTTCTCAGCTCTGATCCCCGAATTCTTTGTTCTGTTATGTATGATTTGTGTGGATCCAGGAAAGAATTCTCTGAAAAGCAAGTTTCTCCCCTGTAAAATAGGGTGATGGATTATACTGCCCACCTGTTCGAAAGAAAGACTGTAAAGCAATGATCACAGTGCTTTGTATGTGAGGAGTGCTCAGGGTTTACCAGTTGGCTGCCGTCTCCAGAGTCATGGCATGATGATGCCTTTGACCATGAACACGATCTGCTTCAAAACACTTATAAACACCAGAGGCATGCTCACTTGAGTTCCCATTCTTCCCCGACCTCCCTCGTTTCCCCAAGTGCAGAGAGAGCCCAAGATGGACTCCACAGTTGAGCCTGTGATTGGATTATGTTCTCCTTTCCCGACCCTGCTCATTCTTTCCTTGCCACACAGTTCTAGTCTGTGTCTCACTCTTGCTCGTGTAAGGCTGCGGTGGCAAAGATAACAACAGCCAGATTATCAGAGAGGTCAGGTGCCGGGTCTCGTGCCAGAAGTGAAGCCTGAGAAAATGAGATAGGCATGCCAGACCACTTCAGCCAAAGCCTCCTTCACCTTAGGGGCGCGTCCTGATGCAAAGACCAATTTTAGAAATTGAAACGATGTCTGAAGGAAATGAACAATGGAGATCTGGAAATAATTTTTGTTTTACTCATTTGCTTACATGGGAATCCTTTAGCAAAATGGCTCCATTTAGGATTTGGACTGCTTTTTTAATACAATAGCCTTTTATTATCAAATTCTCATGCTTCCTTTATGCTCACAGAACCCTGCAAGGGGCCCAAATCTTTTCTAAACAGCAGAACCACTTACTTGTACTCTTTTAAATTACAGCTTTCATGGAAGTGTCTGTTACTGACTTGTTTGATTTTTCAAAATATTATTTATCACTTTGGGAATCTAAAATGCAGTTAAATGTGTAAAGGAATCCAAATGCCTATTTTTTTTTTAATCATGGCAGTAATGTTTATCACATGAAACATTATTGCTTTGGCTGGAGCACTCATAGTGTCCAATGGGGAAGTGAGAAGGAGTAAAGGAGAGGCGTGTGTGTGTGTGTGTGTGTGTGTGTGTGTGTGTGTGTGTGTGTGTGTGGTCTCATTCTAAGATTTTGTATCTCTTTCTCATTACTGAATACTTTCAAGTGGCCTTTCTGGGTTTCTTTTCCTGAGGCTTCTGGACTGAGCACTCTACTCTTGCTCAAATGCACGGAGGGCAGCTGAGCAGGACTTTCTTCATGTCCCTTCTGCCGGCCACTTTGGTGGAGATTGGAGTGGGAGCTGAGGAGAAGTAGGGTCCAGCTCACTTTACAGATAATGATGTGCAGAAAACTCTACAGCAGTGGACTCCATGGAGAGAGAGAGACCTCATGTGAGACACTGCCCATTTCTCTGGTGTAAATACTACTGACAGAGCCGATGCCAAGCTCTCCCCATCTACAAAACACAGCTGGAAAAAGATGCGTGGAGGGAAGCTTTCCCATAGACTGCCCACCAGACACATTTAAAAAAAGGCACGACTCCAAACTAAAGTTAGTAGTAAAATAACCAAAAGTGTTAAGTTGGGGGGTGGTGGGGGTGGTTAATTTGTAAACTTGCTTTAAGATATAACTCATTCCATGATACATTTTTGTAATTTGAGTTTTAAAAGAAGTATCTGTGTTAGAGAACTGCCTCCCAGGGCTCCTGAAGATGTAACTAACAGTTGTCCTGGTCATGGTCTGCCACACTGAGAGAGACACAGAGAAGCTGCTATCTTACCAAGGTCCATGAGTTACGGTGGCAGACCTTCCCCAGAAAGACTGACTTCCCCATATTCCATCTATCTCTTGTCTGTGTATTGTTCAACCATCTGTGACTGGCACAGGCTAAAGACTGGTGTTTACTGAGACTAGAGTCAGAATATGAATGAAGCCAGGCGGTGGTTGTGCACGCCTTTAATCCCAGCACTTGGGAGGCAGAGCCAGGCGGATCTCTGTGAGTTTCGAGGCCAGCCTGGGCTACCAAGTGAGTTCCAGGAAAGGCGCAAAGCTACACAGAGAAACCCTGTCTCGAAAAACAAAAAAACAAAAAACAAAAAACAAAAAAAAAAGAATGATCTAAGATGGGGGCAGTGGAAAGCTGATAGATTCAGAATCATAAGTGAATCCTGGCTTTGGGTCTTGGCCCCACTACTCACTGATCATGGGATCCTCCTGATCAGGTTCGTTTTGTTGTCAGGCTTGGGTTTTCTACCCCATTAGACACCTAGATCATGTAAACATTTAATGTCTCTGTAGATCTAGAATACCTTGGGTCCCTTTAGCTCCATCTGTCTCACATGTTTGTTTAGGGATGCTCACATACATATTTGTTACAGACTCTAATCGGAACCAGATACAAATATCGTAATAACGCATGACAACAGTATTTCACCTTTTTCCAGATCCTTCTAAGTTACCAAGGAAAACCTCACTTTGAGCCTCTGAAGTTCTGTGACTTTAGATCAGGGTACATCTTCATAGAATGTTCGAGAAAAAAGAACAAATAGAACCTTATTCCTAGGAAACGCAAGAGGTCATAACCAGGTAGTAATGAGGAATAAGGAACAAGCCCCCTGGTTTTGTCATGTCTATCGGTTGCTTCATTTTGTCTGAAGGAAAACCAAATTATCAGAAAAACTGCTCTTTTGTATCTATAAGATTAATTATTGTAGATAATTTAGAAAGTTGTAAAAAGTATAAAACAAGGAGAAAATATCTATATCTAGTCTAGTGGTTTACTTTTCTTGACCCAATACTTTGTCGTATTTCCAGAGTGTTCTCTTTAACCATTTCAGTTGTTGTTTATATTAACTTTATTGAGTGGTAACTTGCTTATCTGGTGCGTTATTATAGATGTAGTGTGTTGTTTTCTTATCCTAAAGAACAGTGGGGTAGATAGCTTTGTTTAATATAAACATTGTATGACACTTGGACTCTTAACAGTAATATTTAGTGGTTTTAGCAAGCACAAACTCTTGAACTGCCTGGATTTGATGCTACTAATGTGGCTGGAATTCACGTAGAGTTTGTGTTTCTGATAACCAAGAGGCCATCTTCCCTGAATCCTTCGCTATGACATATTTAGACTAAAGCTTGCTTGCTCTCTGCCCTTCATATCCATTCAAGTAGGCTTGATGAAAAGTGTGGTCAGTAGATTTCTTTTTCTTTTCTTACGTTCTGTGAGTCACAGCTTCTGTTTAGGATAGGTTTATTTATTCAGAGAGTGCCCAGTGTTTAATAAATGAGAGATTTAGTCCAACGTAGTAGGATCAGCAAAACCATCGGAGAAGGTTGGTTTTTTCTTTTTCATTCCTCCAAGCCTGTTAATGGTTTTCATTTCCCTTAGGAGAGATGACAGCTGAGCAGTTGTGGAATTCTGACTGTTAAACGAGAACTGTGAAATGAAGTCTGTTGTTGCCTTAATTCACTGACGTGGAACACCATGACTCCAGTGGTTATTTGATTAAATGTTAATGAGCCCTACTAAATTGACCTAACTCTTACTTTTGTGTACTAAATTTATGTCAATTAAAACAAGCCCCTTTGCACCTTTTTTTTTTTTAAATCGTTGAGTGAAGTTCTGCTTTCTGGGGCGATGCTGTGACTACAGTGGTTGTTTAAATATTAATGGTGCCATTAAGCAGGCTGGAGGCCTGGTGCAGGGAGACAGGGAAACTAGACAACAGGGTGGGTTTTTGTGTCTACCCCAGGGGACTCTCTTCCTGGAAGAGCTTCTTCTATTATTACTATTTTTTTAAACTGTTCTTCTCTTTTCAGAACCAGTAGAATTGTTGATTTCAGGCATTCTCTGAAACTAGCTATGTGATTAAAGCCTTGGTGTAACAAATTTACATAATTAAAAACAATATCTTAACAGTGCCATAGTGGCCATTACCCGTGGGTCTCTTGAGAACTTAATTTCAATTTCTAAATTCATTTGGTTCTTTATTATAGTCAATAATAGGCAAAATCATTTTTAGCTATGTACTATATTTGGATGGGCTTATTTACATTAAGCATAGAGAATTCTATTAAGTTAACCCTGAGAGATATGACAAGGGTCATATATTCAATCAAATTATGATTATAAACCCTTACCTCAATAAGGAAATGTTGCTGAAAAGCTTTTAAAATTTGCCACAACCCAGTATTTTGTAATATGCTAAATTGGGTTGTGTTAAACATGTGGTTAATAGGTTTGTACACATTTTGTCTTTTTAAAATGTCCTAATGGTTTGACGTTTTGAAGCAATGAAAATCAAAATCAGGCATGGTATTTGCATAATTGTACAGTTCCTTTTATAATCAAAAACCTGAGTGATTTTGGGGGGTATTTATTCACTGCACAGTATTTTGTTTAGAATTTAGCTGCTGGGCTTATGATTCTGTGGCAGAGTCCAGCATGTGAAGGGCTCTGGGTTCCATCCCCAGCTCTAAAATAAAATGACCCAAATCAGAATTTAGAATTAAGGCTGTCCATCATGCTTCAGTGTCATCGGTGGTATACAGCCAGGTGCCGGCAGCTGCTGTAATACACGAGGCAGGGTGGGGTTGAGGTGTGGCCAGAGAGACATCCGCCTCAGGTGTAAGACCAAGGCAGTGATGAAAGCTCCGAAATCAAAGTTATGTTTTAATGCAGTCAACCGAGAACTCCATATAATGATTAAAAAAAAAACAACCATGATGGAAATAAATCAAGATTTTACATGAGAACAGGCTCTGACCACACCTCACAGGAGCTTCATGTATCCCCACATATCCAGGGCCCCTGAAGTCAGGCCCTGGCTTCTCTACCTTCAGTTCCTTACATGAGACAACACATCAAGTCCAGTTTTATTACCTAACCTTGATATGAATCACTCTTGCCTTTCTGGTGGAGTTACAAGGCTATTCAAATCAGCTTAAAAACACATTAAAAGTATACAGGAAGGCCCACTGCTGACGCAATTTATGTGTCTATGTAAAGTCTGGATGGCAGGCAACATGATTTCAAGCCGTTGTGAGAACGCTCTCAGCAAAAATCCCATTTCAAGTTTGTTGCTAATATTCTCCTTTTTCTTCTCTCTTTTAAAAAATGATTTGTTTTTATTTTTAACTGTCTGTGTGCATGTGGGTATGTGCACCTGAGTGCAATTGTCAACAGGAGCCAGAAGAGGGCATCAGATCCACAGATCTGGAGGATCAAGAGGTTGTGAGTCCCCAATGTGGGGAACCAATCTCTGGTCTTCTATCAGAGTAGTAGGAGCCCTTGACATCTAAATCATCTCTCTGCCCCCTTTCACACCCAAACTTTTTGTTTGTTGTGTGAGACAGACTCTCCCGTACCCTTACATTGGCTGACAATTCACTATGTGGTCAGAGTTGATCTTGAATGTCTGATCCTTTTGACCCCAACTTCCAACCACTAGGATTATAGGCATGCATGTGCCCTGTGGGCCCTAATTTCTTAAGTTTACTTATCAGATGACAATGAGTAGAGGGTGTAGTTATAGGATCCTCCATCTCTTCTTTCTGTTTTGTTGTTGGATATAAAACTTATGATTTGTAAGAGACAGAGCAATGCTGAAGAAACCTATAGGTTATTTCAAATTCTCCTGTGAAGTGCACTGGAAACCCTTGGTCTCTCCTTTGCTTAAGCCATCTTCTGAATGTTCGGTGCCACACGCGTGCATGCGTGTGTGCGCGTACGTGCGTGCGTACGTGCACACATGCTTGCATGTGTGCGTGTGTGTGTGTGTGTGTGTGTGTGTGTGTGTGTGCATGAGTGCTTTTCCAGTTGCTCCCATAGACCTGAGTTCAACCCCCTTTCATTTCCAGTCACCTTGGGGAGCACTCCCTAGGTCATTCCCTCCTGAAATGGGCACCAGATGCCCTGCAATTCTGCAGTGCTGGAACGGTCCCTACCCCTTACTCAGTGGCCATTTCTAGAGCCTCTGTTGCTCCCCAGCATTACCTGACTCTCTACTGAATTTACTTTCCAGGCCATAGTTTTTCAATGTAACAGTTGCTTTCCAGGTACACTGGAAATTCCTTACAGAATCTTCCTCCAGGTAGCTGAGGTTGGGATCAACAGGGATTGGGTGGACCTTACTTAGCTCCTGGTGATGTCCACGGTGCTCAGCAAACTGCTTTTATACACAACAGGAAAGGGTTTCTTTGTTTGTTTGCTCTGCTTTGTTTTTTTGTTTTTCTTTTAGTAAACAAAATGATTTCTTGCATGTAAAGGGGATAGGCAAACACCGACTTTCGACTCATGTGTGGAATGTTACTGCTCTCACCCCAGGCCAAGAAACAGTTGGTGCCATGTGGAAGGTGATTGTCTCATTGGTCCTGTTTATGGTCAGCCCTGGTGACGGACTCTTTCGCTCCATATACAGAAGCACCATTGTTTCCCCGCCATTCAAGGGATACGCAGGCTGGCCTCTGTTTCTTAGCCCTTATATCCAAGCTGGGAAGATCAAGCTGGGTAAGTGTCCAAAAACTGCTGCTACGTTTCCAATGGTGTTTTAAAAGCAACTACCCCCCAAGATGTAAACCACTTGTCCATATTTTCATTCAGTTTTATTTCAAATACTAGAGGCTTGATGCCATGTGTTATCTGAGTTTTGAGCTAAAATGAGGTGGTTGGGGAAGGAGTATTGATGTCGCTAAGTTGCAGTGTTCCCCTTTACAAAACCAGTGACTGTCTCCCTGTGGGACAGCATTGAGGAAGCCACCACAACCCTTGCACCTTTCATCTGTGAATGTTGACATTCACGCTCCCCAACAAAGCAAGGTGTGTCCGTCCACACAGGAAGACTGAAGTAGGAGGTCGAAGGCCCTGCCAGAATTCACACAGCTGGTAGGTGAGGGCTCTATATTCACAGGGCTTCCCTCCACCTACTCTGCTGTGCCTCTCACCTGTCGACTTATCCACAGGCCAGGCCTCAGTTTCCTTGTTAGGATGATGCAGATTTAATTATCCTCTTACATAACTTGGAAGAATGCCAGGGAAATCTAGTGAGAATAAAAATTTAGAAGACTCCCCATACCCTGTGAATTTCTTCACAAATCTAAGTGTTGACAGAGGCATCATTAAGAGACTACCAGGAGGTCAATACCTTGCAGTTAATAGGAAGAAGTTCCTTCCATTTGGTGTTACTAGACTAAACTGTATGTTTGCATCTGCTCTTACTCCGTCGTGGTGCTGAGGGAAGTCACTGTGGCCATAAAGAACCTCATTTTTGGGAACCCAGTTGACCCCTGAGCTACAAATAGTATGCAGGCAGGCTCTGGCTTTGAGGAATTGTTTGTACAAAGGAGCAGAGGACTGGGCTGGTGGCCAGAAAAGAGTCCAGGGAGGGTCGTAAGCAAAGAGGAGACAGACAGTGAGTGTTTGCTGAAGGAAGGGATGGGTGAGGTGCGATCTGAGGAGCTGCTGGAGGGGACTGAGTGGGAGAGACACAGATGAGGGACTGAGGGTGGATGAGACCAGAAGTTTCAGGGAAATAATGTTTTCAAAGACCAAAAGTAAGTCTAAACACTCTACAAGGAAGTTTAAAATAAAGCGGAGTTTCCTCATTGGAAGTATCCTCACAATCAACGGGTTACAACCATTTTTGTTTTCTTTAATATCAAAGGGGTTGAAGCCTACCTTCAGTGCTTCTCCATGAAGTCTGCCTCAGCTCTAGATTTTGCCAACTTTTTGCTGCAAGGAGGTGAAAAAGCCTTCACTGGGTAATCAGAATATATAAAAAGGGGATTCAGTTTCACTTTCTGCACCAAATTCACAGAACGACGGCTGCCTGGCCACATGGGCTAGTTCTTAAAGATGTATCCGAGTAGGAAACACATCAGCAAACCCAACCCCACAGTGCCAGATCCCACTCAGCTCATCTTCCTTAGTGACTTCAGACGGATGCACAGATTTATCTCATTACCAAGAAGTCAGAGAAAATCATTTGATGTCCAGCTGAAAGGGGGTTAAGGTCATTACAGCCAAGTCCTACCGAGCCTCATGCAAGGAAGGAGACTCAGGCATCTGGATTTGCCTGAAGGGGAGGCTGGGAACAGAGAAGGTGGTGGGGCTCAGGTCTTGTGGCTTCTGCTCTGTGCTTTGCCTACTGTAGTCTATTTTCTTTCGTTTAAGAAGCTTGTGGTCTTCTGAACTAGATGTGCTAATACATGGGAACCAATTAAGGAATGCAGCTGAAGTGTTACATCCATGGTAGGTATGCTCAAAAGTTCAAGAAGGGATGCTATTGATATAATCTAGGCAGAAAATAATAATAATAGTGAAAATAATTAATGATAAAATACCAATAAATTATAAATAAAGTACATATTATAAGTTAACAATTAAAATAATAAGTGAATTAAATAAGTAATAAACAATGATTAATGGTATTTATTTATTATTTCCTAATACTTGGCACAATATTTTTATGCAGTACGCACTTAGTAAATACTTATGCAATTTACATTTGAGTCTCAATCATGTGCCAGTAACCACGTTTTCCATATATTAGCTTATGTAGGTTTCAGAGCAACCCTAATAAAGAACATATGATTATGATTATTGTTCCTATTGCGTAGATGAGAAAACCAAAGTTCTAGGAAGATAAGTACCTTGCCCAGAGCTATAAAACCAGAAAGTGGCAGATCTGAGATCATAACCTTTGCCTAGCAACCACACTATGAACTGCTGTGCCATGTGACTGTCTCCTGACTCGAGGTTGTGGGTATGATATGGGTGACCCCAGAAGGGTCTCTGTGCACACTGAATTAGGAGACAGCTAAGCAGATGCATTAAGTGGAGAAACCATCGCATGCCTGTGCCCTCTGTGGCAGAACTGAGTGAACAGAACACTGTGGAATCCATCCAAGCAAAGGGTCATCCCCATCCCTCCCTTGAGGCTTCTCTGGCCTAGGAGCATTCCACCGTCATGGGCATACACAGTTAGGGAGAAAGCTTGATCTTTAGTCCTTTGGTCACAAGCCCAGCAGATCTTCATCCCATGAATGTGAGGCACGGACTGACTGACTGACTGATAGGTAACTTCTGTCATTAAAAGTGTGTTTCACACTCAGAATTGCTGAATGGAATTTGAATGGTGGATCCCAAAGCTGTCACATCTGGGGACTCAGATGCTGCCCGACAACATAATTAAGGATAATTTTATTCATCCGCTTTCCTGAAAGTTCGGGGAGCTGTGGACAGATGGCCAGCTCCCTCTTTAAATCCCTGTTGTTAATGGAGTCTGTCAAAGCTGCAGGAATGGGAGGCCTAACATCGCAATGGAACATTTTTGAGATAAACAGCAGTTCACAGAAAGACAAGGGGAATTTTAATTTTTTTAATACCCAATTAGCCAGCTTAATTTTATGTAATTGTAATTGCATGTTTGCTTTCTCTGAGGCTAAAATAAATCCTTACGTTCTGGAATAAAAGGCAGAGAGCAAATTTTAGCTTCTTTACAAACACTATATTTTTACAAATTCCAAAGGATGTTTGCTGCTGGATCCTAATTTGTTGCTTGTGGATTGAAAGTGTGTTGTCTACACTGAGGGTAGCTGAAGTGTTTGTGGATCTGCTGTGTACCCCAGTTGGCTGGTTCAACCTTTTACTGGCCATACTCCAATTATTCTCAGAGTGTTAATGTCACAAACACTGGCCACAGCAGTGAACAGCAAAGAGGAAGTGAGATGACTTCAAAGAAAACCTTTTCCTTCTTTAACTGTTAAAAAAACAAAACAAAACAAAACAAAACAAAAAACATTTATATTGTGTGTCACAGTGCCAGAAAGATTAAAAAAAAAACAAAAAACAAAAAAAAAAAAACTACACGTGGGAGCCTGTTCTCCATACTGCATTAACAGCTGACTCTGGACTAAGGATGAAAGACACATTCAAACATATTTAAAAATCGTGTTAGTTGAGGGAACTTTTGATTATTTTACTGTGAGTGGGTGAATAGGAATTTAAACTATGAAATGGGGCAAAAACACTCTTTCATTAAATAGAAAAGGGGTCCTCAAAATTTGTTAAGATATTGATAAGGTCTGTTTTCCAGAGGAGTTTGTAGGATTATGCTAATCCCAAGGTAGTGTCCGTGGCTGCCCATCATTTCTTCATCTGCCCCTTCGTTATGATTCATTCATTGAAAAGTATCTATGGAGTGTCTTAAGTATGTGAACTATCACGCTAAGTCCCAGGGGTTCAGAGATAAAGTAAGACACATTCCTTGCCTCCCTACAGCTCCTGCTGGAAGAGAAAAGGGACAGAACATGCCTACGTACAAGTCAGTAGAGATGCAACCCGGGAATTCTCAAGGGGAGGGAGAAGTGAGCAGCCACATCAATCTAGAGCCACCCTGTGCAGTGCTGGTCTCGAGACAGATTGATCCAATCATCTCTCGCCCATATCCCATTCCCTCCAGCTCCTTTCTATTATATATTTTCTCTTTTTCTCGGTGGACTTTGGCCTCTTTCATTTTTCTCTGTCTTCTATCATCCTGCCCTACCCATTACCTCTCTCTGGATTGTACCTCACTCATTCCAGCCTTCGGTTTTTACTTCTTGGTCATTCTTTTTGAGGAATGGATGTCTGTCTGTTTGATGTTGAGATGATTAATAGGTTTGTTTCAGGTAGGGGCTTTTCAACTCTGGCGTGTAATGTTCTCTCGTTGAGAGGAGAAGGAGAGGAAGAAAATGACAATTGGAGGGAAGTGAGCGCTGAGGCAAGCCTAGTGTCTCAGTCAGTGTTCTATGGCTGTGAAGAGACACCACGACCAAGGCAACTCTTATAAGAGAAAACATTTAGCTGGGGGCTCACTTACACTTTCAGAGGTTTACCCCATTATCACCATGGTTTGTCAGAATGCAGGCAGACATGATGATGGAGAGTTACAACCTGGTCTGCAGGCAGGCGCGGGGAGAGGGGGAGGCTGGGCCTGGCACAGGCTTTTAAAACCTCAAAGCCCACCCCTGGTGAGACACTTCCTCCAACAAGGCCACACCTCCCAATCTTTCTCAAATAGGGTCACTCCCTGATGACTAAGCATTCAAATACATGAGCCTATGAGGGCCATTCTTATTCAAACCATCACAGTCAGAAAACATCACATTTCCTCAGACACTTCTCTTTTCTTTCTCTTAAAATCCTTTTCCTTTTTTCCTTTGTCATTTTTGGGGTGGAGGTGTTAGTCCATTCTCTGTTGCTGTAACTGATTCACACAGACCAAGCCGTTTATAAACAACGAAGGTTAATTTAGCTTGAAGTTCTGAAGGCTGCAGAGCCCAAGACCGGACGGAGGCCAGCTCTGGTGAGATCATTCTGGGCATGGGTGCTTCATAGAACCCTGAAACAGCACAGGCCATCAGGAAGAGACAGAAGGCGCTGGCTTAGGTCCTTCTTTTCTTACAGCCACAGCCCTATTGGATCAGGGACCCACCATGATGGTACAAGTAAAATTCATCACCCACCAAAGCCCAGCTCTCAAATACTGAGTTTTTGCTCTTCTGATACTTCAAAATGAGTATGCAATACCCAACTTGAGTTTTGGTGGGGACATTCAGACACAAGACGGACAAGTGCCCCTGGCAAGAGAGTAGGCAGAACTATGGGACCTGGATTAAACAATCCTGACAAAAAACAAAAACAAACAAACAAAAAAACCAACAACAAAGCTCCCAGACTACTATGCTTCCTTTGGGGGTAACATCTCAGGGGCTAAGGAGACCCCACCTCCTAGAGAGCAGAATCTTGTTTTCTGTCAGGTTCCCTCCCAGGCACATTGATAAGCACTCTTTGTCCTTCGTCATGGAAAGCCTCTAGTAGGGCCATCAGTGCCCACGTTTTGCCCACACGGAAAGAGTCTTGGAGATGAAGTGACTTAATGAGGGATTGAGTTAGGATTATAAACTAAGTCTTTCTGACCAAAGAGTCCAGCTTCCTACCGAGCTAGCCCAGCTGGACCCTCGGTCCACTTCCCACTGCGACCCAGCCTTTGCCTCACCCCTGTCTCTTCCCCCAGCTGCTGCCTGGTCTCCATCCCCACTGGCATTTTAAAGACAATGGTAACCATGCTCTGTGCAAGCAACCTTCTTTTTCTTTCCCTTTTCCCCTGTGTGTATGTACTCACCTGTATGCATTCTCATGTATATGTACTCATGTGTGCCTTAGTGTGGAGGCCAAAGGACAATGTTGGGTGTCATCCTCAGTAATGGTGTCCACCTCCTTTGGGACGGTCTCTCACTAGCCTGCAACACACTGATTTGGCTAGAACAGCAGGCCTGCAAGCCCCAGGAGTCCTCTTGTCTCGGCTTCCTTAGCACTGGTATTGCAAGCACCCATCACATAAGCTGAATTTTTCCGTAGGTCCTGGGGGTTCAACCCAGGATCTCATGCTTGCAAGGCAAGCACTGGACAGATGGAGTGATCTCCCAAGACCCTAAGCTGCCTTCTCTTGACAGCCTTGGCCATGATGACTCTGTGTTCCTGTGGACCCCTAAAGGGTGTGTCTGTCTTAGCTGAGAATCTACAGCACATGGAGGCTGGCTGCCTCCACCCAGAGTCACAAAGCTGGTTAGGCAGTTGTGCTAGTGAGTGCAAACAAGGAGGGCAGGGACGTGTGTTCTGGAAGTACACCCCCTTGGAAAGACATGTCCGTTTCTAAAAAAGGAACTCCTAGTCTCAAAGCTAAGGCTTAAAGGCTATGACAAAGGAGACACATAGGAAGGAGAGGTAGCATGCCCAAGGTCTCCCAGCAGTAAAGAGGAACTGAGGCACACACACCCCAGCATTCGCAGCCCGGCTGCAAGACTCCTCCTTCCTGCCTGCTGTAAGTGGCTGCACTGAGTCGGAGTTATGTGGGAGAAAGGCCCTGGATTTTCCATCACTCCCTTTGGGATTGAATACTCTTACTATGGTAGATTTCTTTGTTCTGTCAGTGATGTGGCTGGGTGTAGATGAAATTCTAAACGGTCTTAGTAAATAAGAAACACAGAGCCAAATACAGAGTTAAAGCCGAAGAGATAAGAGCAAGAGCCAAGACTCCCTTTATCTTACCACTCGCTGCCATCCTTCCCCTGAGAGAGAGAGAGAGAGAGAGAGAGAGAGAGAGAGAGAGAGAGAGAGAGAGCTTCTCCTGTGTGACCTGCCTTTTTACTGCCTTTCCGTTCTACCTTCTCATTGGCTCTAAACCCAACCACATGACTTCCTCATCACTGCCTGTCTAAACAGACCTCCAGGTCTCCATGGCTGGTACTGGGATTAAAGGTTAGGGTCACCGCTTGGCTGTAGTCCTTGACTACACAGAGACTCTGCCTGCCATGTGATCAGATTAAGGGCATGTGTCACCACCGCCCGACTTCTGCTAAATGGCTTGCTTTTAGTTCTGATCCCCAGGCAACTTTATTTATTAACATACAAATAAAATCACATTTCAGCACAAATAAAATATCACCATAGCTGGGTGCTGGCCTGAAAGAGATGCCCACCAGAGTGGGAATCATTAGTTGATGGCATGTTGACCTCCTAAGCATCCTCTAAGTTAATGTATCTCGGACTGAAATACCATTCTGGACTGAGTCTGGACTGAAGGCTGTTTCTCTTCCTCCCTGAGTCCCCTTCCTCCCACTCTGCATGCACCTACACCCACTTTCTCTTCTCTTCCCACCCCGCTCCTTTCGCTACTTATCTTCCACTCCTTGTTGCCTGTACCCCGACTCAGGGCAGCCACCTTCGGGAGGCAGGAAGGAGGAGCCTTGCAGCTTGGCTGCAGCTGCTGGGGTGTGTGTGCCTCAGTTCCTCTTTACTGCTGGGAGACCTTGGGCACGTTCCCTCTCCTTCCAATGCGTCTCTTTTGTCCAAGCCTTGTAAATCTTAGCTTCCATCATCATCATCTAGTCTAAGGCCCCCAAAGCTGGCTGGACATGTCTTCTTTCTCCTTTCCGGTCCCTTGGCTGCCATCAGAAATCCAGGGCCTCTGCCTTCCACAACTGTCCCTGTTCCACTTTGTAGCCATGAGGTTACCCCAGGCTCAACACCCTTTCTTCAGCCACTCTGAGCCCCTCAGATCTGATCCTTAAGAGACCAGTAGACTTTGTGCTCCTAATAGCAAGAAGGTGAGGCTCAGAGGCTGCCCCAAGACTCCCGGACGTTTAGTTTGTTTTCCTGTACCCTTCCTCATGCCCATTCAGTGGGCACAGTAGAAACACCTGAGGTACTAAAGGGATAGAGATGATGGTGATTTCCTTTTCTTAAGAAAAAAACAAAACAAAACAACAAAACAGCTACAAAGACCTGGATCCTGGCCCCCTTTACAACTTCCCTTGACCTTGGCCTCACTGTGAATGGGGAACATATGGGGTCAGCTGGAGGAAGCTGGAACTTGCAGTTGTGAGTATTCTTCATGCCGGCCCACCTCCTCTTGGCTTCTTATCCTGGCCTGGTGGTCAGGATAGGTCTCCACCAGCCTGAGCAGCCTCATGGAGCATGTCCTCCTAATCTTTGGGTACATTTTCTTTCTCTTCCCCAGCGCAGAAGAGGAGCGAGGTCAGTCCTTACCCTGGAATGAACTTGAAGAGTTATGCCGGCTACATCACCGTGAATAGGACTTACAACAGCAACCTCTTCTTCTGGTTCTTTCCGGCTCGGGTAGGTGGCCAAGGCCCGTTAGTGGAGAGCTGAGGGGAGCTCGCTCCAGATGGAGTGGGAATGGTAGCTTCCGTGGGTAGACCCATGGGTTTTGTTAGTGTGTGTGTGTGTGTGTGTGTGTGTGTGTGTGTGTGTGTGCACTTGTGTGTGCGTGGAGGCAGGAAGTCAATGTGTCTTCCTCATTGGTTCCTCACCCTATTTTTTGAGACAGGGTCTCTTGCTGAACCGGAAGCTCCCAGATCCTACTGAGCTGGCTGGCCACCAGCCCCAGGGATCTGTTTGCCTCTGTCCCTGAAATTCTGGGGCTATACACCTATGCTACCAAACCCATCTTTTTTTTCATGTGGCCACTGAGGATCCAAACTCAGGTCCTTATATCCTCAGGGCAAGCACTTTGACCACTGATCCATCTCCCCAGCCCTATGGGCCTTTCTTTTGCAATTAGCCTACAGTAGGTTAAACAATAGGTTAAAACTGACATAGGAGCCGATTTCATCATGGAATTCCTATAGAAATTGGTTTTCGCTGATTCTCTTGCCCCACTTCTTCCCCTTCTGCCTCCCTGCTACCTGCTGTGTCCCCTCTGCCCCGGTAGTCCTTTTACTGCTTTTAGGCCATACGATCTATTACCCTCCCCCACTTTCCTTAAAACTTCTATTTCCCATAAGGCTTAAAAGAATCTTTAAAAAGTACTTTAACATGTTTCCAAAAATGAATAAATGTTTGTGTAGGAGGTGTGGAGATGCCACCCCCCCACACACACACACTTTATAGTAACACAATACCTCCTTCCTGTCACAGCCTTCTTTGTATCTTTTAACTGTTTTATTCAAATAGTACTTGGGGCAGGGTGGGCATTGGAGAGAGTCCAAGGAAAGGAAGGGATGGGGAGAAGCCACTCGCTGCGAGGAAGGAGTGGGGAGCCTCTGAAACCAACAGATCACAGCTTAATCACCAGTGTGGTCTTCGGGAGCTTCTCACCTTCCCAGGTCCCTGGAGACCCCGGAGGGGATGCTTTTGAGCTCACCAGTGAGGGTTAGCTCGTGCCCAGGTCACACAGGTCTTTGGGAACAAGACACTTTAAGGCTGAAGGTCCCTCCGGGACCCTGGGGAGAGGCGCTGTGCTCCGTAAACACATTAAAAGCCCACAACAGAGCCCTTTTCTATTCTCGCTTGCCAAATTGGATTTGCTTTAGAAGCTGGAGAAAGCAAAGCAAAGCCTATCTCCGTGGAGGTTGGTATTCATATTTGAATATGATTTGCATACAACAGTGTTGCATATTTAATAACCTAGTAAATTGCTTCAACCAGTGTCACTGTGAAGTTGAATAGGTTTTTTGTTTGTTTTTTCACTGGTACTGTCCTGCTGTGTTTTCTTGACTTGCTCCTCTCCCCTAACCGCATGACTTCTGATGTACTTCACCTCACAGTAAGCTGTCCTTTAGAGAATGGGGGTGGGCAGGTGAGCGATGGAGAGTTTCAGGTGTTTAAGGTTGGGTCTTTGGACCCTCACTCTCCCTGGTACGCTGTCCTGCACTCTAAAGGGATTTTTACTTCTTCCTCTGTGTGGCTGTTGAAGGAGGAACTGAGGCGCGCAGGGCACAGAGTTTCGGGAGAGATGGGACAGATGGGGAGAGGTGGCTGTGGCCAAGGTCAGCACTTGTACATGACTGTCATCTTCTCCCCAGTGCAAGCTGTTGGAAGACTGCAGCTGGCAGGGAAACTGAGGCCTGCTCCCAGCAGAGCCCAGCGGGGTGAAAGATGCTAAGGGACCCTCAGCAGCAAACAGCCCAGAGGTCTCCAGGCCACTTGATCTAAACGAGGTCTAAAAATATCACCCCACTTTACTACATAGAGACGTTTCTTGTGTGTAGACGAATTTCTAAACGGTCTTATTAACAGAAAACACAGAGCCAGATATAAGGGTGAAAACCTGAGAGAGATCAGAGGAATAGGAACAGCCACATGCTAACCTCACCTCACCAACTCCACAGCTTCCCAAAGCGAGTTACTTCCTGTCTGCCCACGCCTAGATGCCTTGCTGTTCTGCCTTCTGATTTGCTCTCTCTGTCCAACCACATCACTTCCTCTTCCTGCCCAGCTCTGTCACTTCCTGTCTATCTGTACAGACCTCCAGACCTCCATGGTTAACTAGCTTTTGATGTGCCACCACGCCTGGCTCTGTTCCCAGTGTGGCCTTGAACTCACAGAGATCCAGACAGATCCCTGCCTCCCAAGTGATAGAATTAAAGGCAGGTGCTAACATTACATGACTTTTGTGTTTACTTATAATGGCTGGCTCTTTCCTCTGATCTCCAGGCAAGCTTGATTTATTAGAGCACAAATAAATTATCACCAAACTTGGTGTTTCTGTATTGTATTGGTTCCCAAGCTCAGCTTTATACACACCCTAAGCTGGCCTGAAGATCTCCATGAGCTCCCAGCAGGACTTTGTCGTGTTTCTTGCTGTCTCTGTCCATTCCTGTTTCTCCTCTCCACACCTTGTCCCCTCACCTCTTTTTTGCTTGCTTCCCAAACCCCAAATGAGGCTTCACACTTGACTTAGGAAGCACATATGTATTTATTTAAGCTTCGTTTTGTTTTGAGATAGGGTCTTGCTATATAGTCTAGGCTAGCCTTAAACTAGTGGTAGTCTTCCTGCCTCAGCCTTCCCAGTGTCTGGATGACTGGAAGGCACCACCACACCTGGCTATGTAGCAAATTTTAATCTACACATAAAAGTCATACAGCTTTATTGGCTACCACGTGATGTTTTGATACATCTGTACACTGTGTGATGTTTAAATATCAGTGTGATGTTCAAATTCAGATGAGCATGTTTATGTCTTATAAACATTTATTTCTTTGTGGTAGAAATGTTCAAAGCAGTTTTTCTATCTTTTTTGCAATGTACTGAACATTATCGTTATTTACTGACACGATACTGTTCATACACATGGAACTTCTTCCTTATTATAACTTAGTGCCTACAGGGCTAAATTTGGGGACTAAACCTTGCCCCATTCTCCCCCCCCCCAACTTCCTCTCTCCAGGCTACTGCTCTATTCCACAGTGGTCCCCATCTCCATCAGAAAGAAGTGCTCATAGTAGTCAAACCCAGGTGGGAGGGGTGTGCAGTCACCTACATCCCTTTGGGGGTGTCGGCTAGGGTGGGGGTCAGCTTTCTGGATCCTGCTTGGCATTTCACTAAGGCCTTTTGGGGCTCAGCCTCTGTCATCTCACCCTTCCTGTCTCTGTGATCTCCACCCCTATCCCACCCAACAGAGCCTGATTCTCTCTTTTCTGTGATCTCCACCCCTTCCCACCCAGTGAAGTCTGATTCTCTCCTTTCACGTCTACATTGTCCATCCTGGCTTTGTACCAAGAAGTTCTTCATCCATGACTGAATGCTGAGTCTTTAGTAATTATTCAGATTTGAGAGAACAACAATTAGTAAAAGATCAGAGAAGAATCTAACAACAGAAAGAAGGTTTTCTTTTCTTCTGTTTCTACATGGCAGGCCTGGTTGAGCATGGCTTTGTATGTTGGACTGGAAAGGGGTGCGGTTTCCTTATGCTCCGTGGGTTTAAGGTTAGCCTGTTGGCTTGTTAGTGTCCCCCCCCCCCTTTAATTAACTGAGAACCTAGCTGTTCACCCACTGACTGGGCCTTGGTCCTTCAGATCCAGTGCTATAGCCATAAATACTCCTAAGACAGTCCCAGAAGTCTGGCCATGTGTTGTCTCAACACAAAGGTCTTAGGCTCAGGGTTCTGCAAGAAGTGAAAGGCCACAGTGTAGACAGCTGTGGTAGGGAAAGATTGTGCAACACCCCACTGGGACGCTCCCAGGCACAACCAGGTGTCCAAGGCTTCCAGCTAGGAACCGAGGAACAGGGTGGGACAGATACAGTGCCCAAGGAGACGCAGCTGCCAACCACAAGGAGGGAAGTCCCCTTCGTTTGGCAGAAATAGGAGTTCCTTGCCTGTCCCAGGGAAGCAGCTGACATTGTCATCAGGAGAAAAGTGACACCATTTTAAAAATGAGGGTCGCAAAAATAGAGATCCAGGAAGGACGCCGCACTCAGAGCATCCTCTGAGTCATTTTCTGGATGCTGTTTCTCAGATTAGTTTAGTTTTCCTGTTATTTCTGTGAGAGCCCCTGTTATTGTCTACAAATCAGTGCATAATGAATTCCAGAGGACAACGTCAGCGTGCAGTGGGAATACTGTAGGGGAAATGGCAGGCTTTGTGCCTGGGATGGGCAGTGCACTGTAGCCAACAGAAGACAGCGTCTCTGGTGGCTGCTGTTAGGGGGGCACAAGGTCTGTGCTCAACCCCCTTGCTCCTTTGGCTGAGCCAGAATCTAAAGCTCAGTCTTTGACCTAGACATCTTTGTGTTTGACCATCGTGTGTCACTTTCCTAGAAAAGTCATCCCAGAAGGTTCTGGGGTGCAGAGGTTGAAAGTATGACCTCTTGAATTAGTCAGGATTGGGTGGCCAGAGCACTTACCCTCATTTCCTGGCAGCACAGAGCATCTGCTGTCTCAGTTCACAGTGAGAATCAGAACAGCTAGCTGCCTGACCTGGGCCTCAAGACAAAAGAAGTAACAGAGCTAGCTGATTAGAGAAATACCGGACGCACAATAAATATCACTTTTATTGTTATATCCTGTGACTATTATTACCATTATCACTTTGGTGATACCAGTTGCCACCAATACTGAGCCAAATAAATAACAGTTTCTGGGCTTTAAAGGAAACAGAGGGAAATTGCAAATCAGAAGGTTCCAATCACCAGGCAAGAATGTAGATTAATGGCTATTGGATAAGGAAATGACTATTGTAAAATTGGGATTTGTCACACTTGAGAAGATAAAGGGACCTCTGAGGCCGGCTTCATTGGAAAGAGACAGCCAGACTTTGACCTTATTTTCTAGGAACACAAGTAATTTGAAGTGTTCAGAGGTAGCCCCGCCCCTTTCCTGAGGTCCACCCCTCGAGTACCTAGCAGAGGACAAGGCGCAAATCCTGGTTTATTTGGTGCTTATAAAAGAGCAGAGATACCATGAGGCCCCTGGGGGCAGTAGCTGAAGAGGTTCTCACTCAGGAACCTGCAGGTTGGACCCTCCACAGCCATACGGCAGGGAATCAATGTGACACAGGATTAGGCTATCAATCCCTGCCCCCAGCCATGAGAGAATGCTCTGACACTCATGAAACAAGGCATTTTCTCTGGACAGCTTGTCTTGGGAGTGAAGGTGGAATCAGGGGCCCCCTAATCTGTCACGGGCAGCCAGGTGTATTCCCTCTTCTGGATGTCCGAACTTCCTCGGTAGCGGAGTATGTGTGGGAGAGGGGAGGGAGTCCAGACTCCCTGCGGCTCATCAGAATCATCTGGGAGTTTCAAAAGAATGGCAGCCCCCTCTCGGGTCCCCTACCCATCTAGGATCCCTGAGGTCCAGATCAGCACTCCACAAGCGCTCCACATCTATCCTAGTACAGCTTGCCAGTGATCTTGAACTTGGGAATAAAGAACTGGAGGTCAGGGTACAGGGATTCTGTTCCAGGTCTGCAATTCCTGGTTGTTTAACTTGGTATAAGGCATTTATTTATTCTCCCTGGGGTTCTCATCTCATCCAAATAGAGAAGGTCAACCTAATTGATGTGTAAGGCTATGTCTTAGTTCTACAAGACACCAGAGCCACCCTGCAAGACATCACCTGTTTCTGAACCATGGACAGTATGAGGGATGATGTTATCACCAAGTCTTAAAAACTATTAAGGTTTGGAAAGACACTGTACAGTCCTGGATAACTAACACCTTGTTCCTTTAGGCTGAGCTATAGTAGCTTGTGACAATTGGTATCTACTCACTAAACCGTGGGACCCAAACCTCGGCAGTGGTGGCTACTGCACAGGTTGGGTGTGCCAGTGTGCATGCTCGCTTGTTTTGCATCTCAGCTCTAATTTACCGCGGCCAAAGATAACAGCTTTAAGCATCTTTGCTATTGGGTGGGTATGCCAGTAGAGGGCGCTGGCACTGCGGCACAAAGTAGCCTTCCTTTTCTGTTCCCTGTTCTGTGTTTTGCTTTTTCTTGGTCTTGCTGCACAGTTCCGTGATGTTCTACCTTAGTTGTTCACTAGGACCGTGAGACCCTTTGCCTAGGTGACCATCCAGCTGTTGCTAGCTTATGGCCAGGCAACCCAGGGAACTTAGCTCCAAAGGGTTGTTCCCAGGCCTTCTTTGAGGAGGTTTGAAGCACAGCTTGGAGTGTGTCCTCACCCCTCCTTATGGGATTTGTCCTCAATAAGCTCTCTTCCCTCTGGCCCAGTGTTTTTTGTTGTTGTTTTGTTTTTTTTACATAAGTTGTGTCTGTGTTTTTTTTACACTGTCTTTCCTGTTCCCTAGAACACTGGGAGCTTACTGACATGCTGGTCTTGGATCAGCTCTCTGGACTTCTGTCCCACTCGGCCTGATGCTGTCACCCCCCTGTGGCTGTAGCTGAACTGCATCTTGGAGTAGGATTACAGGACAGTGTTTCTGGTTAAATAGAGCAACTGGTTAATCACACAGGGAAATGACTATGTGGGTCCTGTCTTATGATTGGACCCTGAGTGGTATCTCCACTCATTCTCTCTCCCAAGGAACCGAGAATATTCTGGAAAGACCTCAGGGGCTGGATCAGCCAGCATGTCACTCACCCTCATTCTTAGCACATAATATGCTTCCCTTCTTCAGGCACTTGGCCAAATTGGCCAAACTGCAGCTTGCGGGCTTTCCTTGACCTTGGTTGTGGAACCAACAGGGATTCATCAGTGTGTGCCTAAGGGTACAGTGTGATTGGCCAACTGCACATCAGGTGATCATCCTTTGATCCGATCAGCCAAAGGTCAAGTGGCAGAAGCATGGCCAATGGGGCTTTTCTGTGAGTATAGGGGCCGTTCCTGTGAAAGGCACGTGGGTCAACAGATTTCTCAAACTATGTCTATTGCAGGTGTCCACCAAGCCACCCGCACGCACCAGGTGTTAGAAGTCAAAAACTACTGTCTTCATATTTTCTTTGTGATATTCTTGAGGCATCAAAGATCTGAAATAACAAAACCATGCGACACAAAATAAAGTAGCTTAAAATGATAAGTTATAGATCACTCTCTTCGTAAGTATATTTGAACTCTATAGAAAACTTTTTTGTGCCCAGTTGCCTTTTGGGGGAAATGAAAATCCTACACAGAGGTGGAAGTTATTAACGTTTCTAGTCATTTTCATCTTATCTTGAAGGAGTAATAAGACCAGACCCCCACATCCACACTGCCTCTTATTCCTTCTAAGCCAGCCTGAGAACCTGAGAAGCCTTCCCTACCTCTGGGACGGTTAGGGAAGACCCAGCAGAGCAGTCTAGGGGGCTTGAAGCTGGTTGCTTGATGAGAAGTCAAAGCTTGAGAAGAACCCGGTGGAGTTTGGAAGTGATATAAGGAGACCAGGAAGGAAATGAAAAAGTTAATTTTCCCTGTGAATGATCATAGTAAAGGATGCTCTAATGTGTGTCAACATGAAGCGAGATGAGCAGCATTCCCTGGGAACACACAGATAGCTTAAGCAAGCTGTTCACATGTGTTGGGACTGTGTGTGTAGAATTAAAAATGGTACCGCATGGCTGTTTAATGATTCTGGTTACCAAACTAATTGCTTTAAATACAATTCTTTTCCTTGATTAACACAGTGTGACAGCTGAAGTGTCATAAGAGCAGATATCTTTGGGGCAGAGTGGGAGTCCATTCGAATCTACTTTGGGGAATTTAAAGACATTTACTTCAGATACTAATGACTTCAACTGAGAGAGAACGTGTTACTGAAAGCAAGCAAACCATCAATCATTACATATAGAAGTACAGAGACGGACTCCTTGCCTTACAGAGCACACTTCCATTTTTAGCCTGGCTTAAAGTCTGTCAGTGGTTTGGCTATTACGTCCTTTTACCTAGTATGGTGTTTCTTAGGGGCATAGAGGAAAGGGTTGGCTAGAAGTATGTCTGCAGATTGGATACTAGCAGAAATACTGCCCTCTCATGAGGTAAGCTGCCTAAATTCCCTAGAGCAACTGCAGTAAAATCTTCTAAGTAAAGTATAACCTCTGGAATGGTTAGATTTTTGTCAACTTGACACAAAATAGTCACCTTGGAAGAGGGAATAGCCACTTACTAATTGTATCCATCAGATTGGACTGTGGAGTATTTTCTTAATTAATGATTGATATGGGCAGGCCCAGTCCACTTTGGTGGTGTCATCTCTGGCCAGGTGATCTTGAGAGGCATAAGAATGCAGGCTGAGCAAGCCAATAAGCAGCATTTCTCCATGGTCATTGATTCAGTTCAGTTCCTTCCTTAAGTTCTTGTCCTGATTTCCCTTAATGATGGACTGTGACCTGTAAGATGGATTAAACATTTTCCTATCCAAGTTGCTTATGGTCATGGTGTTTATAATAGCAGCAGAAAGACAGCTAGAACAACCACACTGATTAAAATTGGTGCCCTTAGTCCCTGCTCCCAATGTATTGACTCTCCGTTTCAGCAATATGTGTAAGATACAAATAGAAAGTTACATAGACTCTGTCTCATTGCCTGCCTATGTATGTAAAGCTTGGGGTCTGGTCTGGTTGGAGACATGATGGAAAATTCTAGGAGCATAGCTGATGTGTCTCCATTAGGAAAATGATGGGCCAGGTCAGGACCAGTTTAGAGCTCATAAATTATGCTTCCTTCAAATGACAACCCATGAAGGCACGGGATCATTTTCTTTGCCAGTCATTGATAGCAAGCAGTGGAATGCGCTAGTGTAGGAAGAAAAAGTGCTTCCTCCAGGATGGCTGTTCATTATGCAAGAAATGTGGAGGAAGGAGTAGCCAAGTTTGTAACCGGCCACCAGGGGTCGCTAGAAGAATTGAGAGGGCAGCTGATAAAATGGGCCTCTTTCTTTCCTTTACAGCTTTTTTCTCCCCTTCCCTCTTTTTCGTCCCCTCTTCTCTTTGCCTCCCTCCGTCTCTCCCTCTCTCCCTCCTCCCCTTCTTCCCTCCCTCATCTTGACAGGATCTCTCTGTGTAGCCCAGGCCAACATAAACTCTTCATCTCTTGCCTCACTTCCCTAGCAGTGGGATTTTAGGTATGTCTCAACACCCAGCTGCCATGGTTTTCTTGTTTACCAGCAGGGCTCATCCTCTTGGGCCCTATCTTTCCCGTGTCTGCCATCTTCTTTTGCTATCTATGCATCCCACAGATCCAGGAGTCCTCTGTTCCTTCCCATCCCCTTACTCCTCCGTTCTTGCAGCCGCTCTTGTGATAGTTAGTACTCAGACCCATGATTCATTCATAGGTGCTTCCTTTTTCGTCAGATAACCCTTGGCCAGTGGTATTGCTCATCTATGGGGTCCAACACATTTGAATAATCCCCTCAAAAGCAGCTTGGAGTCCTCAATCTCTTGTTCCTCTGCCCATCTATCCGTGTATGTAGTGACACTTAGCTGTTTCCTACCCATCAGAAAAACCAAGCAGAACTGACGTTTTAGAAGGACACACCAGACACTGCCTGAAGTGCCTATGCTTAACAACCTGTGTTTCCAGGCAGAGGGCATGCAAACACAGAGACATGAAGGCATTTGTCCTAGGACACACAGCTGTAAAACAGCAGAGTTGGAACTCCAGTCCTGGCAGTGTGACTCTGGTATCACACTCTTTACCAGTGTGCTTTTTTTTTTTTTTTTTTTTTTTTATGGCCACAAGTAGGAACTAACCCACAGCTTGAAAGAGCAGCCTGGGAGAAGACAGTGTGTGCTATGAGATGAACTGTGCTGAATTTGGGCAGCACAATGGTGCTCACTGCTGTGGAGAAATGTCCACAACCTGTGGTCCAGCGACCACGGAAACAAGATCTTGTCTCTTAACTATGTCTACAGCATAGGGAATGTCCATAAGATGACCATAAGTGTGGCATGTTTATTGAGAAGAGTCCCCAGACGTCTCCATGATCAACTTTAGGGAATAAGACTGGGAAGGGCAAAGGGATTTTTGAAAATGATCTCTAAAAATCCCTAGTTAAGCATATATACACTAGTGCTGAGAGATGGTTCAGCATGTAAACCATCACCACCAAACCTAAGGATGTGAGTTTACCCCCCTGAGACCCACATGGCAGGAGAGAACCAGCTACCAAGATTTGTTCACTGACCTCCACAAGTGTGCCATGCAAATAAATTAATTGATAATTAGTAAATATAATAAGATTTCAAAAGAAGTACTCTACTTGAAATATAAAATGTGTTGAGGAAAATGACTTTAAAGCTTTCAAGGGAAGAACTAAATGTCTTGAATCATAACTTTAATGAGATTAATATTTTTAAAGTTCTGAATTCCATCCCACCTGTAGTGAAGTAGCAAACATTTCTTATTTCACTGGCCCCCAAGTTGGCAGTGTGGTTTCCTTCAGGATGCCATCGTCAACTTCTCTTTTCTAGAAGGGCCTCACCTCATAGGTGACAGATATGTCCCAGAAGATTCTCTGTAAGAACTTCAGGCCACTAGTGTGGCCACAGTGGTTGTTGTCTGTCACGGTTATGACGCTTTCTTCATCACAGAAGCCTGCTGTGCTGTAAATGACTCTTGGGTACCTAGCATTAAACAGCACCTTCACATCCCAGCATGTGATGGAGGCATGGCATAAATGCACAGGCTGGATGGCTCATTGTAGGAAGACATGCGGTAGGGTTTCTTTAAAAATAGGCCGCTTGGAGGGCTGCTGAGCATGGAGGAGGCAGGTCAGCTGAGGCTGGAGGCCTGCTAGCTCTTGGTATTCTAGCATCCCAGGAATGCAGGTGCCCTGCTTCACAGCCCCAGGAGAGCCCTGTTTGGCACATTGTTGTTTGCCTTGTCCTGTAGTGTGGCCTCTCAGGACCAGGCTATTTTTCTGAGAGTCTAGCGATAACCTTAACCCTGCCAGGTCACAGGAAGGAGGAGAAGAGAGGAGTAGAGACTAGTTACCTAGGAGACTAAGAAAGCACGATCCCTGTCACCTTATAGGTCCCCAGTCCTGCTTGTATGTAAGAAACTTCTGGAAAAAGCTGAGGGTGCCACCCTGCTCCACACCAGGGCATTGCAATCGCTGTGGCTGGAGCCAAGGCAGAAGTCTTTTTTTTTTTTTTTTTTTTTTTGGTTTTTCGAGACAGGGTTTCTCTGTGTAGCTTTGTGCCTTTTTCCTGGAACTCACTTGGTAGCCCAGGCTGGCCTCGAACTCACAGAGATCCGCCTGGCTCTGCCTCCCGAGTGCTGGGATTAAAGGCGTGCGCCACCACCACCCGGCTAAGAAGTCATTTTTTAAAGAGATTTCCACATTATTTTAATACACAAGCAAGCTTGAGGACCACTGGTATACATGAACACAGTGAGGGCCTGAGGGTTGAGTATCCTGAAGTCAGTGTACCCCAGCACCTCAAACTCCCAGGAGGCTGGGAAGCATGGAGATGACTTCCTTCCCGTTTCCCTGGTTTTCCTACGCCTTGTCGTGTGGGGTTTACTCCCACTGCTGGGTAAATGAGAGTATAGAGGAGTCGGGGGTCCTGGTGAGTGGTAGTGGCTCTGAGAGGAGGGAACCCACATGTCTAAGCTAAGCACACAGTGGCTCCTGGAAGAGTGGGCAGGGCATTTGAGGGAGCTGGTACTGCTGCCATGGGGCAGGCGAGGAAGCCGAGGCTGGAAGAAGCAGAGGGCCAGGGTCACCACAGCTACTCTGTGTCAAGCAGAGTAGGAGCCTCCTGGTTCTAGGTTTCCCTCTCAGCAGCTCTGACACAAGGCTTTCGTTGTTGGGTTTTCTGCTGTGACTTGACAGAGAAACACCTGCCTCCCCCCCCCCCGCCGCCGCCCCCCCAACCTGATTTTGTGTGTGTGTGTGTGTGTGTGTGTGTGTGTGTGTGTGTGTGTGTGTGTGTGATGTCAACATTTGAGGCAGGAAGATAAAGGAGTGAAAAATAGACCTGGAATGATAGGGGCCACAGGACTAAAGAAAAGCCACCAAGCAGAGCACTCCCCTACCCTTCTTTTTGTAGATGCGTTGAGCACAGCTCGTCCCTAAATCCTTAGTGTTCATCCTTTGCAGCAGCAGTAGCCAGTGTTTGCAGACACGTGTCACAGCTACTCGCCGGGTCTTATGGGACACAAGTCACCCTCCCGCCAACTACACACTGTAGATCATGGCGCTGGCGCTCATTTGACCGGTGTGGAAAGTGAAGCCCACATTGCTTAGGCATCTCTCCTTAAGTCACCTTAGCTGCGGACAAGGGGAGCCTGGGCTTGTGTCTGGAAGGGTTGAGTGCAGGTATTCGTCACTCACTCATGGCTGACTGTGGCTGCAGGCCTGCAGACCAAAAGCCCGGCCTGACTGTGGGCGTCAGCACTTTCCACACTCTCCCCTCTGTTACAACCGTCATTCACATTTATCATGTCTGAGTGTTCCAAGGGCGTTAGCTATGACACTCGATGTCCTGACAGTTGAGAACAATGCGTCTGGAGGGAGCCCCTCGTGAAAAGGCTACTCTACAGACAATGGCTGTTCCCAAGAGCACTCTCAGAGAAGGGCCAGAGCTTGTGAGGGAACCTATGTCAGATCTTAGATGACAGGAAAGTCGTGTCCCCATGTATCTTCCTCCAGATGCTTGACGTCGGCTCCCAGTGACACCCTCATAAGTTAGTCTAGCCTCCCACGACAGCCTTCTCGCAGTGTTCTGAGGAGGAGTCCGGCCATGTCTGTACTTGTGTGAGAGACTGAGCCAACAAGGAAGGGGCAGGAGTTGTTTGGTCCCCTTACTGTGTTTGGAGGATAGACCATGCAGATCGCAAGATGCCGCCAACTGCAGAGAAAGACACCAGTGTTTGGGGCACGTGTAAATCCCAAAGAGGAAAAGGTGACCAACCTTTCTTTATTGGAGAGTGAGACCTTTGGGGGCAGAGGCGTTCTAGAATGTTGTCAGGGACGTGGAAGACAGAGGCTTCACGCACTTGGGTGTACTGGGCAGCCTTGGTGCGTCTGCTCACTGGTTTCTCCGTTCCCTCCAGATACAGCCTGAGAACGCCCCGGTAGTCCTCTGGCTTCAGGGCGGGCCTGGAGGTTCATCCATGTTTGGACTCTTTGTAGAACATGGGCCTTATGTTATCACAAGCAACTTGACTGGTAAGTGATGCTCCGACCGCTTTAGCCATGGGCCTTCTCCCAGCCGGTATCTACTCTAAAACAAATTTAGAATCAACACAGAACCACCAGGAGTTGCTTAATAGTTCCGGATTAGAGAAACACAACTTTGTGGCAACTTCTGTCCAGAAGGAGGAGCCCCAGGGTGAGTGTCCTGCCTGGCTTACTTTCTCCTGCAAATGTGGGTGAAAGGGTCTAAGCTGTTTCCTGCAAGCCGGCTGCTGACTCAAGCATTCTTGGCTTACAAAAACAGTTGGTATTTATTACTATTTGGGTGAGCCCTCTTGCACGGGCCTAATGGTGGAATTATATCCCTCGTGATCCCCGGGGATAGAATGCTTTATGAGTCCATCACTTAACTGAGCCGATGCCTTGAGAGCAGGATGCTGTGGGTGAGGCCGAGGCGGAGGCAGGGCTGGAGGAAGAACCTGTGACTGTGTCAGGGCGGACTCCATCTCTGTCTCACTGCGGAGGTGGTTCGCTTTGCCTGGGTCAGCATTCCGAGTGTGAATTGGTTTGTGATTCACTGTAAAAGCTTTTGGGCCAGCTTTGGTGGGGCTGATGTTTTCTTCAGCACTGGGGAGGAGGCAAAGGATCCAAGAGCCTGGGTGGAGGGTGGAGGAGCCCTTTACGGGATAGGACAGACCGGCGTTTTCACGTCAGTTCTCGTGACGTTCCGTTGTCACGGCTGCATTCTTAGATATAGATACGGCTACAGTGGGCAAAGGTACAGAAGAGAAGAAAAGGGGGGATGGGCACTGCTCTTCCAGAGTACACCCTATACCCTACACCCAGGCCCGTGGGTCCTTTTCCTCCTCCTCAGGGCTGAGGAAAACATCATCCCCACCAAAGCTGGCCCTTTACAGTGAATCACAAATAAAGTCACCCTGTGAATACGGAGCCAGGGAAAGCGAACGACCTCCCCAGTGAGACAGAGATGGAGTCCACCCTGACACAGTCACAGGTTCTTAACTGTGCCACAGTGGCAGAGGGGAGGCCGGGGATGGAGAGATGAAGCCGGTGTGCTGGGGTCCGGAGCACCTGCCCGGGATGTTTTATTAAAACTCAGCCCTTTCTTCTGTTTTGACAGTTCTTGCCAGAGACTTCACTTGGACCACTACCCTTTCCATGCTTTACATTGACAATCCGGTGAGAACCAGGGGACACGGGGAAACATCAGTGCTGGCATCATGCCCCTTTTCCTTTTGCTACATACAGTCATGGCCGCCTGGTGACAGGTTGGTCAACAGCAGGCCACATACACAATGATGCTCCTGTGAGGCTATCAAGGAGCTGAGATGCTCCTGTTAATTGTGTTTTCCTCTACCTCTTCAATCATCACACGTGTGTCGATCCACAGATACCTGCCACTGTGCTCAAGTTTCTTGCCGTATCCAGTAGAATAACATGATACTGTGTACATGCCTCCAGCAGGTGATGGACTGTGCCTTCTAGGTTTGTGTGTGTCCTCACTGTGATGGACTTACAAGAACAAGTGCTTAAGTTGTCCTCACCATTATGAAATATATCACTGTACATTTTCTAAAATAGAGATACACTTTTTTTCCTTTTTGGATTAGAGTTTAATTTATAAAGTGAGCCACCAGACGTGGTGGAGCACACCTATAATCCCAGTATTTGGAGGCTGGGGCTGGAGGATAGTGAGTTCAAGACCAGCCTAAGCTACATCACGAGCTCTAGGCTAGCCTAGTCTACATTGTGGGACCCTTCCCATGTCAAACAGCATTGAATGCCACCACTTGGATAAGGGGTGGGTAGCCTTTCACTGACGGTTGCTTGATAATGGATTCCCCGTCTTTCGTGTGGACTTCTAGATGCAAAGAACCAAACTTGGTGTACTTCCCTTTCCAAGGGAAGCAGAATGCCTCAGTGATACATGGAGTGATAGAGAGGTCTGGAGTCAGAGGTGTGGTTTTTAGAAGCAGTGAGGGCATCTCCCAGTATGGGGTCTAGTTGAATGTCCCCAGGGAACTTGCATCTTCATGCTTATCTTCATTTCCTCCCCCTTCAGGTGGGCACAGGGTTCAGCTTCACTGATGATCCCCGGGGATACGCCAACAGTGAGAGCGATATAGCCCAAAATTTGTACAGGTATGACATGCATCTATGGCCATAAGGAAAGTCTCCTAATGGTAGAGTCACTACCAATCGGCCCTCATTTGCCCAACTTCCAAAACTTTGTAGAACCTTTCTGCATGAGTATGTGTGCACATACACAGTTTCTTCTGCTCTTTCTTACCTTGTCATTCGTTATTGTTTGTATGACCAGCAGACAAAGTAAACATAGCTAAATTATAAATGTAAGTTGTATAGCAGTATCCTACAAGACACAGTAGAGACTCAACATGCATTTTCAACCAAAGATTCCTTCTCAAGCCGTCCACCCAGGCGACTTAGAAATTTCCAGTTGTCTCTAAGATTCTGTTTAACTTTGTGCTTGCCAGGAGATAACGTCTTTTCCAGGCATTTGCCTTCTTGCCCATAATTGCTCCTTCTGTGGCTCTAGATGTATAGTTCACTCTGGAGCTTTGTCATGACTTTTCCAGGCTGAAAATGGTCTTTCTCCTTCTCCTTCATCTTACAAAATTTGTCTTTCACTTTAAAAAAAAATGGAGGAAGGAATGTAAAGTTGTGATCTTAGTTAAAGTATATACACATAAATTTTCCTTGCATTCTTTACATCTATTTTTAGTACTTTTTAAAAACTAAGTCGACCTTTCTAATTTGGTCAGATTTTTCCAGGCTATAAATTGTTAGTAGAAAACAAGTCTGGGGCTGGAGAGACCGCTCAGTGGTTAAGAGCTCTGACTGCTCTTCCGGAGGTCCTGAGTTCATTTCCCAGCAACCATATGGTGGCTCACATTCGTAATGAGATCTGGCGCCCTCTTCTGGCCTGCAAGGATACATGCAGGTAAAATACTGCATACATAATAAATAAATAAATCTTTTTTTTTTTTTAAAAGCAAACAAACAAACCAAGTCTGAATTCTTTCAGAGCCCCTGAGCACCCTTCGATGTCTCATGAGAATCTACTAGAAGACTCCTAATGGCTGGTCTCACCTGCCCACTCGCTCTGCTAATTACCCAGTGGGCAAACCCGGCACCTAGCGCAACTCCAAGGGGACAGCATATCTGGTCTGGTCGGGACAGAAGCTTTTCTTCTTTTCTGGGGCAGATCAGGCAGGGGGCTGAGGGACCAAGCTTTTGCTGGCTTCCTGGTCTTTATTTTCTGCCAAGGACATCTCTTTCTTTTCCTCTGCTGTCCCAGAAAAGAATTTGGCTGTTCTATAATTTCCCACATAAAATCCCTCAAGATTTGTTAACACTTGTGTTCAGTTTCCAGCAGGGATACCTGGGTCCTGGCACCTTTGTACCTGGGCACAGTGGTTCCCTCGGACATATTAGCTGATCCCCCCAGAGGGACCTCCCCCCTCTACTGTCTTTCCCCCTGCACAGGCATGACTGTGGTGCCTGTCCTCAGAAGCAGACTCAGGTGCCTCCCACCACCACTTACACTATTGTGTTTTCCTTCAGGTCAGACACCTACCCTCAGCCCTTACTACAGCCGTCTTCTGGCTCCATTGTTTAACTAGCAAACACACCCCCGAGGGTGGAGGCTCTCTATCAAAAAAACGTGTTCACCCCTTGCAAGCCAGAGCTTTGCAAAGCACCCCACCCCCAAGCCGGAAACAAGGCTGCTTCTTCCAGCTTGCTGTTGACCCTCCGTGTGGATGTTTACTGCTGACATGTGCTCCGTCTCCTCTTGCAGGACACGGAAAGAGGACGGATTTCAAAGCAGCCGTTGTTTATAGCTGTTTCAGTTCCCTTTGCTTCAGGCTCTTAGAACTGGAAAATAGCTAATCAGGAGTAGTGCAGAAAACTGATTTCAGCTGTTTCCTTTACAGTTTACACTATTCGTTTCCCTTTGTGACTGCATTCTTCTCTCCAGCTTGCCAGATGGGGGTTTGCAACAAGAAGGTTGCTTTGGAACCAGTAAATGGGCTACCGGGGCTTTAAAGAGCCGATCTTTCTTCTCCCTTCGAAAGCCCCGCCCCCACCCCAATCACGTCCCGCCCCTGAAGATGGAGTTCTATTTTTCTGAGAACAGTGCCTGGCCTGGAAGGAATGGCCTCCTAAAGAGCCATTTAGCATTCGCGTTTCTGCTGGCTTTCTTTGTGTGCAGAGAGAAACTTTTTCACTCACGTGCAGACACACGCTGTAAAGCATGCTGCTGAGCCAAGGCGCCTCCCGGCTTAGAAACATGTGAATGAAATGTAGTCAGCTTCCTCATTGTGACGTGGATTTCTTGTCTGGTGCTGCTGTCCTCTGGTCTCCCTTGATCGCTGGCAGACACAACCCCTGGCCTCCTAGAGCTCATGGCCTGGTAGAGCTCCTGAAGTTACCTTCTTGGAGCTGAATGGAGATGGCACAAGGCGGCTCTCACCTCCTGACAGCCTGGAAGTCAAAAGTGAGGAAGAGGAAGAGGCCACAGCAAATCACACCCTGTCAAAAAGTGACATACTTCTTTCCCCTCCTCCTCAAGTTTTTCTCTCCCAATAGCCCATCAAGCTGTGAATCCACTTGTGGATGAATCTGTTCCAAAAGTTGGAGCCCTTGTGAATCAGGCACCGCCCTGAAGTCCCATCTCTGTGCCTTTGGGCTAAGCCTTCAACACTGGAGCTCTGGCAAACCTTTCAGGTTCAAACCATTCGTGAGGAGCTCCTGCCCTGAGTCTTGAGCCTGCGCTAAACGTCTCTTGAGTTCCTGTTGCTTCTACTCAACCGGAACTGACCGGATTTTCTTACGGCCACTGGCTCTGTTGCACATCATTCCATCACCTTCTCTGCCCTGCTGGCACCAGAGGACCTTTCAAAAAGGCATCTGAGGAGTGGTGTTCTCCCAGCCACTCCTTCTTTCAATAATGTATCGTTCTGTGACCAAGTAGCCTTTCTCTAAAATTCTGTTTATCAGTGATATCTAATAGAGTCACCCGATGATAAAAGATTTCTGTGCCAGGTAACATTCGTACCTAAATCTCTCTCTCTCTCTCTCTCTCTCTCTCTCTCTCTCTCTCACACACACACACACACACACACACACACACACACATTTATTTATCATGCACACCAACATTATGCTAAGCTTTGAAATACATGCGGACATGAGTCCTGATTTTATTTTAAGCAGAACCTCGCTGTGTCATTGGAATAGTGCTTAGCTTAAGGACAGTTAAATGGGCAAGGAGTGTGTGTGGTTCTGGGTACTGAAGTTCTATTTTCATAATTTACTGCTGTGTAAGAACCACTTACCAAGGACTCTGAAACAACAGGCAGTCCATGGAAAGACCTCAACTGTGAGATTCAAAGAGTAATAACTTCTTTCAGCAAGCTTTTGCTTTAGAAACCTCAGCTACGCTGGTGCTTTCCAGACAGAAGTAACACGGGAGATTATCTCCTTTAATTTAGGTTGCCAGATACAGCACAAAATGCCCAGTTAAACTGGAAAGTCAGATAAACAATGAACATTTCTTTATGTATAAGTATCTTTCAAAAGTGGAGAGTATTAAAAAAAGACAGCCAACACAGACCTCTGGCTTACACACACACACACACACACACACACACACACACACACACACACGAGTATATTCTAGACATACTTGTACTAAAGCATTATTTATTATTTATCTGAACTTGGATTTTAATTGGACACCTTGAATTTTTTATTTGTTAAACCTATCAGCCCTAACAACGCCCCATCAAATACCAAGGAAGTAAGCTGTAAGTTAGAGCAGGTAACTTGAAATTTACTGTAGTAAATGAGCCCAAGCAGCAGGAAGAGGGAAGGGAAGTGGATTTTAGCCTGAAGGTTCCTGAGGGGAGGGTGGAGAATGAACTCCTATTTTTACCCTTGTTCTAAAGCCAGTTTACTGCCAGCCCTAACGTGGAAAAACTATCAAAACGCAGTCTCCCAAATTTAGTTCCCCAAAGTCACTATAAATAACAAATAGGGAACGCACCAAAACACCCAAGCGGTACTTCACAGTCGATTTTTACGGAGCCTTTGAAAATTAGGTCTAGCAGGGATCACCGTGGTCATAAGGACTGAGTTTTTCTCTCTGTAACCTTTGAACTCTCTCCCACTCCTGGCTTTTCTGAGCCTCCTTGCCTTTCATCTTCCCTGGAGGGGTCACAGCTTTTAGTCCCTCAGCTGGAAGCTGGGACCAAAGCCCGGCCTGGCTTCTCAGGCCTTGCAGTTCAGGTCAAGACATTCCTAGAGTGCCTGAGCTTCATTTTTCATGTTTTTTTTTTTTTTTTTTTTTTTTTTTTTTTTTTTCCTCTCCTTTTTGGAAAGACTTTGGTCAAGACATTTAAAAATCAGCTAGTCTTTTCTTCCTTATTGCGGGACACCCCCCATCAGCTTGTTTTAAGCTCTCTCAGCATAGCTCACTCAAGTGGCCATGGGATTCTGGTTGCTTTTTTCCCCTCCATCCCTCCTTCTCTCTCTTTTTTCACAGCTTTGGGGTTCTTATTAAAACACTGACGTTCTGGGAGCTCCTTTAGAAAGAGTTCGGGTCCCCCACCATGGTTTGTTGATAAGAAGCTAAACTTTCTATTTCCTTTTCTATTTCCACAAATCTGGTCTAATGGCTAAACAATACGTGGAAGCTGGCATCGTGGACACAAGAACCTCTCGGCAGTTAGACGACCCAGAGTGGCAATCCCAGGTTTAGAACTTGCCCGTGTTGATGTCCGGTGTCTAGACTTCCTAGGATGGCACTGGCAATATCAGCCTCCCTATTTGTTTTGCCTAGCCACCCATGTAGAATGCAGTATTACCCACTCTGGGGGACTAAAACCATGCACCAGAGGAGTGCACAGCCCAGTGCCAGCTCCTTCCAAACAGGGTGCATGCTCCCAGCTGGTGAGGCATGGTAGCCAAGCGCCTGCCTTACTTTTCCACTCAATCTCGATGTCCTTTCTCCCACAGTGCACTGATTCAGTTTTTCAAGTTGTTCCCTGAGTATGCGAAGAATTCATTTTATGTCACTGGGGAGGTGAGTTGACATCTTATTTTCTTGTGTGCCTCCAATATTCAATATTACAAAGACTGGACTATATGATGACAGTTACAGCAAATATATTTGTGTGTGTGTGTGTGTGTGTGTGTGTGTGTGTGTGTGTATGTGTGTGTGTGTGTGTGTGTATTAGTGTTGATCCAGTCCACCCTCACAATTTCCGGAGTATCCACCAAGCATCCTCGGTAACAATGTTTTGATCCAGGGATCAGTGAAGGTTCACATATTGGGATGAGTGCAGCAGCTTATCATGTTCCAGTCTTCTTCCCCTTTTTGTTATTGTCATTCATATCAATGATTTTAAGGGAGGGGCCAGGTGCCTGTCGTACATTCCGTATTGGGAACATGTTTTATTCTCTCCTCAGTGTTCAGATTAAGTGAGGATTCCACCTGGATAAGCCTGTATGCTTCCTAGGCATTCCACCAGGCACCACACCATGGCAGTTGGCCCCTGGGGTGATGTTGTGTGATATTTTGTTTGTGTTCTGACAAATAAAGCTAACTTGAAAGATCAGAAAAGCAGGGCAGCAGCCACTAGAGGCTTCTTACCTCTAGAAATCCTCATACCGAATTGGGGGGGGCAAGATCCTGTCTCCACCCACCTTATATCCCTGTCTCCACCTCCTGATTATGCTGGGATACAAGGCATGAGATTCCCCAGTGCTGGAATCAAAGGCTTGAGCCTCCCAAGTGCTGGGATTAAAGGTGTGTGCTACCACTGCCTGGCATTTATGTTTAACCTAGTGGCTTGTTCTGTTCTCTTATCTTCAGGCAAACTTCATTAGGGTAAGCAACATATCACCACATTTGCCTCTGAAGCACCCTGTGCATGCCTTTCCTGGGTCCTGGAATCAGTCATTTTTCTAGGGACTCTGGCTCATTCCAATGGAGAGCGGCACTGAAAAGCCAAGCCTTGTTGGTAGGATGGGCGCTGCTTTGGACCTTGTGACTGACTGAGTCCTGTAGCTCTGATTCCCACCACAGGCATCTCCAATGCTTTCCTCCGCGGATGTCTGTGTGCACCTTCTCCCACATGGAGGAGCAAGGCTTCCAGCAGCACCTCCTTCTCCTCCTCTGTGCCATCCCACTTTGCACCCTGAATGACTTTAGAATGACTCTGTCTTCACTGTAGCCAACAAAAGGCTTCCATGTTCCTTTCACCAGGATGTAGTCTCCCACTCCCTGCCGCTCTGTCTCTGGAGCTTTTCTCTTGTCTCGGTTCATTCTCAGGCAAGTGTTTTTCATATTAAACAGCCCGTGTATCCCACCCTGGTGCATATCTAATGAACCACGCAAGTCTCTCCGTACTCCTGCATCTCCGAGGGTTTCTTTAGGTCCCATCCATAACTTGGGCTAGAGGGATAGAATAAAGAACAGTGACCAAGGCCTACTCTGTTGCTCTGGGGGGGAAGGATCATGCTGGGGCCGTCATTCTCTGAGCAATAAGGCTTAACTACAGAATGAGTGATCTTCACAGAGAGGTCAAGGGATGGTGCCAGAGGAAGGCCAGGAAGGATGACAGGCAAGTGGCCTACAGATGTGCTTATTAAGGGACTGAAAGAGAGAAACAGACTAAATTCCTGGGGAATCGCAAGCATGGCACCAGGAATTCGAGCCTGTCTTCCTTTTCTAAGTGGTCAGAGAGAACGGTTTAGCAATCAATACTAAGTTTGGTTTTATTTTTAATACTCAGATGCTCATTATCAAATCACATTTACTTTCTCCATCAGTAATATTTCCCTCCGTCCTTTACCTTTTGAGCATTTTCAGAGGCAAGCTGGGAAAGGAGCAGAAGGTGACACCCTTGTCATTTTCCGAGTTCCCCTGGAAGTCACACGTTTTCCTCTTCCAGCAGGAGACTGGTCTGCTCAGTGTGTAATTCCTTGTCTAACAAATAATGTGGCGATGTTGCTAACCATGATGCTCAGCAAAGCTGCCAAGAGCTGGAGGGAATTTTTGACTTGCCTGTTTTATTTGTGCCTTGTGGTTTTATGCATATCATCTCCAAATGTGTGTGGGAAAAGAAAAAAATTGTATTCTCTGCTGCCAGGATGAATATTCTTAGAGAAACCTGTGCCTTCTGTGATAAAGGAAGATGAACAGGAGGGCAAGAAGGGCTTGGGGGCAGTAACCATGTGCCCTTAGCTTCAGAAGAGCACAGTGGTCTGCCCATGGGTGTCCAACTTTCTGGCATTGTGACACTATGCCATTCCCAAAGTTCACAGTTCACAGTTGAGAATTAAGCAACTGGCCTACAGGAAAAAAACAAAAAACAAAACAAAACAAAACAAAAAACAAAACAAAACATGAAACCTCATATGTTAAGTATGTTTGTGATTCTGCGTTTGGCTACATGCAGCCCTAAGTCTACAAGATGAGCATGCCTACTCTAGAAATCACATTCCTTTATAGAAAGAAGAATGCTGCGTAGCAATGTCCTCTTCTCCTCCGGTCTCACACGTTCTGTTTTGTTTGTCTTCTAAGACCACGAGGGAGAACAGGGTTCTGGGTTGATAACTGGAGAGCTGGAACAGAGTAGAGGAGTTCTGGGTTGATAATTGGAGAGCTGGGTCTCAGTGGATGGCTCCAGGCAAGTCCTTAACCTTGCTGAGTCTTTGTTTTTACCAATCGTGGAGGTTGGTTAGTTTTGAAATCAGTTCCCGTGGCTGTTTTGCTGTATTTATTACAAGTTCAGTGGCAGTCACTCAGACTCACTCTCACAGCATCTCCACATTCCTTCGGTTTGGACATAATACCAACCCTCCCTGCCTCTCGCCAACCCTATACCCAACTGTTACGGGAAAGCCCTTCCTGTTCCGAATGTCCATTTGTTCTTTTTAGGGAGTCACAAGAAATAATACCACCGAATTGCAGACTCAATCTTGAAAAATAATGGATAAACTCAAGAAACGTTCTTTCTGCTTTTCAGTGCACATGTGTGTGGTAGAGCACCCTTTACGTTTGTGTGCCGGAAATGAAAGCAGCCCGCGCAAAGGGGGCTGTGATGCCTGTTCTGAGCCAGGGCATTGGTCTAAGAGAGTCGGGAAATGCTAATAGGACCTACTACATAGTACTAGTTGACTGTGTAATTATATAATCCTCCTTAGATATGTCAAATAGTGACTGACAGCAGTGAGCATCCGGCACATGATGCCTCCGTTAGGGCTCAAAGCATATGGCCCAAGGCGTATAGAGCAGGCCAGAAGTGTTCACAGCAGCTCTGCTTGCTCACTGTACGTTTATAGCATTGCCTGTTCTATTCTGTTGAGTCTTTTTGGCTGGCTCTCTCTCTCTCTCTCTCTCTCTCTCTCTCTCTCTCTCTCTCTCTCTCTCTCTCTCTGTGTGTGTGTGTGTGTGTGTGTGTCTCCCCGGAGATCTAACCCAAGGCTTTGAGCTTGATAAGTCACCCTCTCCCACTGTGCTCCACTCCAAGTCAAATGCATTTTTAAAAAGCATTTGTTTTACCTAAAAGATGAAGGAGCCCTGAAGCTGGTATTAGAAGTTCGAATGATTTGCTTTATACACATCAGCATGTGTGAGGACCCACCCACAGCCCACTGGCAGAGCATACCAGGGAGAGCGGTGTAGGTCCGCTGTGGGTGTGAAGGACAAGGGAGAAGCCTCTTCTCTCTTTCTTCTCTTCATCTATGCCCAGAACACCAACTGGAATTAATTTTCTCTAAAGAGAGACAAATGTGTCTGTAAATCACCCTCCTTGAGGCAGGAAAAAAATATACTTCAAAAAGAAACAAGCTGTGTTTAATTCCCGTGATTAACTTTCTTTCTAAGTGTTAGCCTCCCCGAGCCAGTAACTATTAGTGAGAAAGCTCTTGTGCTAGAGGCATCTCTGCACTGTCGAGCTCTTTCCAGCTTCCACGGGATGGCCTTGAAGTTAAAGAAGACAGCTCTAACTGGAAGACAGGCAGGTGGCAGGGTGAAAAGGGATTGCCCATTGTTGGAGCATGGGGCTGAACGTACCAGCACAGGTAACCACTCAAAGCTGTGGGTGGTTTTAGAAATGAGGATGCTTCCCAAATGGCAAGGCATATGCTTAAAACTGGACATCTCTTCCCCATAGCAGAAAAGGTTTGTGGTCGTAGACGAACTGGGGACCAAATACAGGCATGAACCTTGAATCTACTTTTATGTTAGTTAATCAGTTCAACGAAGGTACTTTATCTTCATCTGCATGAGAAAAACTCCTATTGGGAGCATGTTGCCATCATTACAATCCGGTGGGCTGAGGGGGCAGCCCAGCACGCGAGAGCCATGCTTGTATCATCTTTTTTCTTATGCAGTGTTAAGCGCTTGCTAAATGTATGTATGATACAGGGTGGCTTCATGAGAGGCTGCTATTAGTTACAATAAACGGATCAGTCGTATTTCTCCTCAGCTACTTTCCATTTCCCTGTCCTCGTCCCTCTCTCCTGCCCAGATCCCTGGAGACTCTCCCATCTACCATCCTCTCTCTGCTCAGTCTCCCACGCTCACTCAGTCTTCTCTCCTGGGCAATCTCATGCTCAGGTTTATTTCTCCACTCTTCTTCCCTATCCAGCTGCATGGTCTGGTTCTCCTTCTCCATTCTGACTTACCAGTTCATGGCTCAATAAAAAGATGAGATAAATTCCACCCAGTGTATTTTTCTTTTAACATAGCTATGTCTGAATTGAGAAAAGTGCCAACCCATGGAAGGATATTTCTAATAGGCAACTCACAAGCAGTGACAGGCAAGTGATGGGGTGACATGGGAGGTGAAGTGGGAGAACCATGCTAGCCGCAGGCCAAGAATCATTCTGTGTCGGCCTCCAGCAGCCTTGTTACTCCAGCCTTGGAGTCGTGGAATTGAGGGGCTAGAAGACAGGCTGAAGGACATCATGTTCAGGGGTTTGATCAGTGGTCTTGCATAAGAACATTTGCTCACACTAGAACACACAGCGGCCATGAGCCCTTGCTGAGTGCTGTCCAGTCCATTGCTTCAC